CGCTCCTTGGACAGAGCATCCCGACGCGCGCCCACGACCTCGGGGGAGTGGGGGGGGTCGCCGTGGCCGTCCTGGGGGGGACCCCAGGGACCCCACCCACCTGACAATGGGCCCCAGCTGCAGGATGTGGAGCAGCAGCACCAGCGGCCTGTCCCGGCTGAGGTCGCGGTGGACGAAGACGAGGCTGAACTGGACCAGGACGCAGGGCAGGAGGGCGAAGAGCAGCGTCAGCGACTGCCAGATGCGGTCCCCCGCCGAGCGGTAGGTGCTGCTCAGGTACAGCGCCGTCACCGTCTCGGCCACGAAGAGGAACAGCGAGATGAGGACGGAGCCCGGGAATTTCATCGCCGCCCCGGGGCTCGGAAGGTTGGCGGCGGCGGGCCCCCGAGGCCCCTCTCCCTTCGCGGGCGAAGAAGAAGAAGAGAGCGGGCGGCGGCGCTCGCCAAGAATTGCCCGCTAGGGGGCAGGCTTGGGTAGAGCTGCTGCTGCGGCGCCGGCCGCCCAATTATCCTCCGAGGCGTTGATCCTCCCTCGGGAGGTTTTCGGTTTCTCCTCCTCCGGGCTGGTCGGCTTCCTCGCTCGCATCGTCGGGACGCGGGAATCGCGTCCTGACGTTGCGGGGTGAGGCGCACCCGCCCGTCAATGAGCCGAATGGTTCTCGCCCCAGAGACCTGAGAGCTGCTGACTCGCGCGTTGGGCGGCTGGTCCACGAAGGCGAACCCCGGGGTGCGCTTGTTCCGCCTTCATAGCCACTCTCCTGTGTGTCCCCACTCGTGCTGTGCGGATGTTAAGTACATTGCTTCTCTCTCTGTGTGTGTGTGTGTGTTTGTGTGTGTGTTTGAGAGAGAGAGAGAGAGCGTGCATTTTTGGGTCCACTAACTTGTGCTGTGCTTTCAGCCATATCAAACCTAAGCTGTCACTAGGACTGAACTCCTCAGCTCTTAGAGCTCTCTGTCTTTGCACATGGACAGAAGTGCCCTTTTCGTTCGCAATCCCAAATGGAAAGCTGCCTTCATCAGTTCCCGGGGAGCGGCAGCAGCAGCAGCAGCAGCAACAGCAGCAAATTCGTTAGTCTTAAAGGTGGCGCAAAACTCCTTCCTCCCTCCCCCCCCCCGTTCTTACTTGGCACCAGGAGTCTCTTGCTCTGTCCTGCTGAAAAAAGTCGGGTAAGCTCTTGCTGGTAATATTTCCATCTTCATCACCACCGTGGCTTTTAAAGTATGTTTTGTAAAGGAAGACAGGAGGGCCTGGCGTGCTCTGGTCCATGGGGTCACGAAGAGTCCGACACGACCTCAGGACTAAACAACAAAAAGGAGCTCCTGCATCTCTGCCAGTGAAAGTCTGCCGTTGTTGAGCCTTCACCTGTTACCCAGCAGCTGCCTTACACGCTTTGCCAGAAAGAAGCTTGCTGTCATCTGATCTTAGCTGATTTTGGATGCTAGGTAGGCAGGGTGGGAGACCGCCCAGGAACAGCATGGATCTCCAGGGAAGACCAGGAGAGAATCCTGCCTAAAACTCTGGAGAGCCGCTACCAAGTTGACAATACTGGGCTGGAATGCAGTCCCTGGGTGGACATTTGCTGCATCTCAGTTCATATATGTGGAGCTGGTGACTACACTTAATGCAACAAACGAGTGTGTATGCATGCATGTAGGTGATACATCACCTTTTGTCCCAGAGTCCCTGGGTGGACATTTGCTGCATCTCAGTAGATGTGGAGCTGGTGACTCCACTTAATGCAACAACCCAGTGTATGTATGCATACATGTAGTTGATACATCACCTTTTGCCCCAGATGGGATCTAAGGTGGCTCACAGCAATTAAAACTACATAATAATCACAGATTTTAAATCACCAGATTCTTTCTCCTGTACTACTTTTCATCACACAATAATTCTGGCACTAAAGCCTGACTGTTGCTTGCACATACAGCCTATCCATGAGCAGGATGCTTCTCTTCAGACCCAACACTGAAACCATGAAGCCATGATGACAAAGGGAGCTCTATAATAAACCATGAAGCCATGATGACAAAGGGAGCCCTATAAGTACATTTGCAGTGCTGGGCTGAATAGATGTCTTGCATGTGCAAAATCACTATCCTAAATCTAACAATGAAAAGCATTACATGTCACCTTAACACTTCTAGAGGCCTTATACATATTCACATTGAGGAGGAAATTACTGAGTGATATGTGTGTGCGCATGTGAAAAGGAGTCAAAATAGTCTCTACTTCAATATTGAGGTAGCATGGTATGTTCATTGAGATTTTATTGTATCTATCATGTATAAAACTGGAAGAGATAACATTAAACCTTACCTTATATCTTTATGAATAGTTAACCATCCTAACCTGTTTCCCCTAAAATAAGACTTAACCTGAAAATAAGCTCTAGTATGGTTTTTCAACATGCTCGTAATATAAGTCCTACTCCAAAAATAAGCCATAGTTAAGTGAAACCCCGCCCTCCACCATTGTGCAACAACCAGAAGATGACATGACTGTGTTTGAATAAATGTACAGTAGATGGTTGTACATGACAAAAATAAAACCCCCCCTGAAAATAAGCCCTAATGCGTCTTTGGAGCAAAAATTAATATAACCCTGTATTATTTTTGGGGAAACAGGGTAAATAGTCCAAAGGCACTGCACAGCTGAGGACCACGTGGCTTTCCCCCCCTTCCCTCCCCCCATCCTAAAGAGGGTATTTCATCTTTATAAGGAGAAACAAGTTCTTCTTACAACCTCTTGATAATCAGCATCTAGTAACCATTGTTTACCTATTGATTGAGCAGCATTTATATCTATAGATCGCAGATAAGAAAATTATAGATCCCCTGAAGTGACTTTTCTGCCACGGCCTTTAGCTTATTTATATGAACCATCTTTAATGTTAAATTAATGCTCCTGTAAATGAAAGTCTTGGGATGGTTTTTTCTGATTAATTATCTAATTACCACCATGCTCATTAATTCTGTTTCAGTTTGTCCCTTTGAGTTTAGGATTTATAATAACATTATATGCTACTATTATATATATATTAGGATATTTATGATGACTGAGTACTAGAATATAATAACTCTATTAATATGATAGAAATGAAGGGCAGGTGCCTAACAGTAAATCTATGCTCTCCTTGGTGGAGGGATTCCAGTACCAGTTGGTGCCCATTGCAACACAGCTGCTAATAGTGGTTAGAGCTAGGTTGCTAGCCAGAGCAAAAGTATGCATTTATATAGACACATGCACGCACACACATGCAGACAGGCAAGAAGCATTTATATGTGTAGTCAGGGAGAAGCACACACATTGTGAGTCAGATACCCTCACCCCACCCTATTCATTTATTTTTCGACTTGACTAAGGAGCAGAATTTTTTTCCCCCACAGCTAAAAATGTGTATACTTGCTACAGCTTTCTTCTTCTGGTCTCTCATAGCTTTTTTTCCCCTGACAAAACAAGGATAAGGCAGTGTGATCCTGAAGGTTACACAAATGCAAGAGCAGGTGGCACCTTTTAGTGGACCACCATAAAATACTACAATCATACAAATTAATGCAAATCATACAGATCCATGAAATCATGCAAATCCACGAAAGCTTGGAATTTGTATGATTTTATAGTGGTCTACCAAAAGGTAGCACTCACCCTTGCAAAGGAAACAAAGAACAATTAAAAATAAAAATAAGACAAAAACCTTGTGGCACCTTGCATTTCTGTAAACTTTATTTCTCTCTCTTTCATAGAGCGGGAGCTAAAAAACAAACAAGCATCATGGGTGGGGCTTGTCCTCCAGGCCTCTGGGAATAAAACATGCCGGAATGGGTGGGCTGGCTGGGAGCCTGAGCTGAATAGGGTGAGCCTCACTGGCTTTAATGGATTAAGCTTCATCTGGCAATTCTGAGCTTGGTTCTCCAAAACATTTGAGGGGCACCAGAATGAGGAAGGTTACACCATAGTTTAGTGCTATGCCCTGACTAGGTTTTTAATTAATGTACGTATTGGATTGTCACTAAGGCACATTTGAATATGCTGGTACTTTCTCTCTCAGAAGACTGGTTCAAAGGAATTCTATGCAAGGATCTGCTCCTCTGGGCATCAATCTGTAGAGGACTTGGTCCATGTCACATGTCATTGCCCTTTGTTTGTGGAAGAGTCTGATCAAGACTTAAGGTGCCACTCTCAGATAAGGATAAATTTTTAAATTTTTGAATAGCAAGTTCTGTTACCATACTCATTTAAAAAGAATCTACATGTCCAACAACTGACAAAGCTGACAGTTAGAGTAACTGTTTCATTCCAAGTCTTTCATTACTGAATAGCTATTTTATGGTTAAACTCATTGCATATTGTAATTATTGTTTTAAGCTCATATATAGCAAATTCAAATATTTTTTTCTTTAAATTTGGATGCAAACTCAACTCCATTATATTATATTGGCCGCAATCCTCTTAGGTAACTCCATAGGCATAAGAAGCAATAATGCTACCTACCAGTGATATTACTTTTAAATGTAATTTAATTTAATGCTCCTTGTCTCCCCCAGGTCCCACAGCTCCCTAGGGATCTGTTCCAAAGCCTTTGGAATCCTTAGGATGGGCTGGGGAGAGGAAGGCTTTAATATCTGAAAAATGTTGCCCTTGGTCCTGGGATTAGGACTGGTGGTCCTGACTTTCAGATATGAAAAACCTCCTCCCCATCCCAAGGCCCTAAAAGCTTTCCCAGGTTGAAAAGGATCCCTAGAGAGCCTCAGAACCTGAAGGTGAGGTGGAATGGATAGGACATTTTAAATTAAACTAAATTAAATAGTACTGTAACCGGCTGATGAGATCAATACCATGCAGTTTCAGCAACAGGCTTCCAGTCATTGTATTGCATTACAGTATACTGTATTGTACTGCATTGTTTTCACTATATAATTTGCCATGGCCTGCGTGCTAAAGCATTAAAACTGATGTATTCACGAAGGCTTTCATGGCTGGGATCTAATGGTTGTTGTGTGTTTTTTTGGGCTCTTTGGCTGTGTTTTGAAGGTTGTTCTTTCTAACATTTCGCCAGTCTCTGTGGCCGGCATCTTCAGAGGACAGTGCTGTCCTCTGAAGATGGCGGCCACAGAGACTGGCAAAACGTTAGGAAGAACAACCTTCAGAACATGGCCAAAGAGCCCGAAAAACCCACAACCAACATTAAAAATGAATTGATTTATTGGATTGGAAATTTGCTGTTACAAAACACATTGATCCACTATTGAATGGATGTCATGTTATTAGCCTAGCGGGAGCCAAAGAGAGAAGCAACATCCCCATATCATTCTCCTACCTGCAAAGTTATTATTCTAAGAGTAGCTTATCT